AGGTGCTATACATTTGGAGCCGCTTTAACCATGCCCCCCTAAAACCAAGGCCTTTAGTAAAGGGATGACTTGGCAGGAAAATAAGCAAAAAACAAAAGTTTGCTATAGATGGGACAGCAGCTGAAAGTGACCACTAGCAATCAGAATTAAAGTGCCATTCTGCAACTGACCCCAGGGGCATCCCTAGATTTATGGCTTTCTGAGGATGGGAGAGGGCAGATTTCTGCCAGTACCTCTAGCTTTGTCTAGTGTCCCGTCCAGCTCAATGACGTCACTGGTTGAACCAGTGAGCTGGGAGGTATGTCGGTCAGAGAGTCACAGGTAGCTCTTGGCAACCTGGGACACCCTGGCCAAAAACGGGGGCGGGGGGTGACTGGTACCCGCCCTCCCCCACATGACCCAATGGGATGCCCACTGAGACAATCACCTCACGCTGCCTTATTAAAGAGACTGCCTGTCTCTTCCTTTGCAGTTTGACAGCGTTCCCTATTCTTTCCCTACCACCTCTTGTAATTCATTCACATCATTGCTGGTCTGAGCCCCATTTCTATAGTGAGGAGCTGGTTTAATCAAAAGCCTGTTTTGGCCCTTCTAAGCCTGTTGACCACAGTTCAAAGCCAAAGTGCATTTTGGTTTACATAAGTGCTCCTGGGCAAATCTGTACATAATTTTCTACGAACCTTGAACCCATGGTGGCAGCAAGTGCAAATCTCATCCCTTATTCTGACTATAGAGCAACATTGTCTCTCTCTCATGTAGACTGTCCCTGATTGCACTACAGTGGGATGAATAGATGTTGCTGTGGGGTGTGACTATCAACATTTTAGCATGTTACTCAGTACCTGGCAATACCCATTCCTGCCCACTGCTTTCTTGTCTGATAGCACTGCCTCTGTTGCTGAAACCCTCCTATTGTAAGCTACATTGTCTAGAGGGGGAATGTATGAGACTTAATGAAGGATTTGGATAATTTAGGGACGGTAGAGGAGATTTTTATGTTTCTTGTGCATTACATAGTAACTGGTTTTGGTATTTGTATAGACCAGCGGTGGTAAACCTAATGGCACGCATGCTGCCAAGGGCACGAAGATGCCCCTCAGGTGGCATGCAAGCCTAGGCGGGGGTGTCAAAATTAATATCGCCTGACACCCGGCACAGGCAGTTCTGGGCATCAGGAGGGTAGGCTTTTTTGTTTGTGTTTTACCACATTTAGCCCTGCTTCGGGCAAGCAGGACTAAATGCACAGTGGGGAAGCTGCCGTTTGTTTACTAAAAGTGATCTCGGCGATGCCGCGGAGATCACTTGTATGCAGCCTGCAGGTCTTTTCTGGGGGGACCACAACAAAGAAGTTCAGGATGGAGAGCAGGGAGCAGAACATCTGTTCTGCACTCTGCTCCGTGTGAACAGTGAGACCGGAAGGCTGCACTCAGCCTTCCCATCTCCGCTGTCACAGGAGAGCCAGCACAGTGCTGTGCTACACCTGTATTGGAGGCGACCGGTTTAATAAAGAGAACCAGTCACCTCCAAATGCTAATCGCTGACGGACATGTTCGCTCGTGTGTGATAGCAATAAAGTTAGGTGAAAAAATTAATGAATTGTAAAAAAAATTAGTGATTAAAGTAAAAATAATACAATCCATAAAAATTGTAAAAGATAAAATGTAAATACAAATTTAAAGAAAGTAAAAAATGGTAAAGAAAAAAAATGTTGAACTATCTGAAAATGTGTGTTTTTTTTTTTTTTTTCTTTATTTTGCCTACGGTAGTGATTCTGAATGTTTTGTGCTTTGGTTTTTAAACCCCAGTGCCCAAACTAAAACGCAAACTAAAACACATTACCTGGCAATACCCATTCCTGCCCACTGCTTTCTTGTCCGATAGCACTGCCTCTGTTACTGAAACCCTCCTATTGTAAGCTGCAGTGTGTAGAGCGGGAATGTATTAGACATGTGCGATTCGTTTCGTTCCTAATGGAAATTCGGACATTCGGATGTATCAAGATTCCGAATTACAGATATAACGAATGCAAACGAATCCGAATTTCCATTTCCGAAATTCGGTAGCGGTAGTTCGTTCTAACGTTCGTTTCGTTTTCGTTTCTTATTCGTTTAGTTCGTTGGGGCAAAGTGACATTAGAGAAGGAGAAAAACATTTTGCCCCCTCAAATGTCACTTTGCTACGAACGAATAAGAAACGAAAACGAAACGAACGTTAGAACGAACTACCGCTAACGAATTTCATCCGCATTGACTTTCACACCCGAATCCCGAAAAACGAAATAACACAAATCCGAATTTAAAACGAAACGAAACAAATTTTTTGGCAGTGCACATGTCTAGAATGTATGAGACTTAATGAAGGATTTGGATAATTTAGGTTTTTAAACCCCAGTGCCCAAACTAAAACGCAATACGAAAATTATTTTTAGTGTTGGCACTTTAGATAAATTGATTTTTGCGCTGCAGTCTTGGCACTCGGGCTCAAAGACGTTCGCCATTGCTGGTATAGACTGTCAAACAGGAGCTTTTAGTTGTATTGAATCCGTCACTCATTCAGCTAATCAAAATTTCTCTTTGAAAAGAAATTAGCATGTAATAAATAGACCTTGCTTTCTATTGATACCTGACAGTGTTCATGACTACATGATATATTGCAAACGGTCAAGTAATATATTGCACAAAGGGAACCCCAGACACTTGAAAGAAAACCACTTAATCTTGTCAATGCCCCCAGCCCAGATCTATAAGGCAACCTGTTATTTGTGAACCTCTTACATCCTCATTACTCTCCTCCTGTGTGACCTTACTCAAGCACTGACTGCCAACACATTATTAGACTTGTTAGAAGTACGGTTATGTATAAAGCAAACCCTCAGTGGGCTCATTCCCTGAAGTAGTGCCAGAAACAAGTAGAACGTGTAGTTGTAACTTGCTTTTTTTCTTTTTAGTATGACAATTTAAATTTGCAGGACCACTGGGGCTGTATAACCCGATCATGATCAGCCATTCTGTAGCTGCAGGACAAGGAGACTCAGAGACAAGACAGACACCATTTGTGTTTGTTTTTTAGGACATATTGCCCGTGAGGAACACAAGCCTACCCATTCCATGGATCTCTGTGCATTTTTAAAATTATCCTTTGCTTTGTTCGTGCAGGGCAAAGCAACAAGTTCACGTAAAGCTGAACTCTAGATAGGCAAATTTAAAAGATGAAAATGAATTCTGTATTATGTATTCATTCAGTGTATTTTTGTAAATGGAAGCAGTGCAAGCATCTGAATTTAACTTGGTATGAGCCTCTTGCTGGCTCTGTACAGCAGATCTCAGAGTGGAAATGAAAGATGCAGAGTGTTGAGTTAATCTCTGTGCTGCTTCTCCTTCACATTCAAGTCACAGGCTGCAGGCAGGTAAAGGACAACCTGGGGTCAAAGAAAGGGGGTTGAATTATACTTGCTCTCCTGCAGTCCAGAGGACATTTAGTAGTGAAGGAGGGGGGAAGAGAATTTTGAAACATTAGCTCCTTTTTTATTTTATTGTTTAAGAGGCTATTACTTAAAAAAAAAGTTGAGTTATGCTTAACTTCCCCCTTCCCCAGCAGCCCATACTTGCCTTTTACTTTAGATCCGTTGCTGAGAGCAAAGAAAACCTAGTGTAGGCTTTGAGTCATGACTTGACTGCATAGAGCAGTGGACTCTTAGACTGCCCTCGTGTAACAGAGGCTGGTCAATCACCATCTTTATTATATGGAAGGAAGAGGAGTTGGTTACATGCTGCCCCATACCCTAAAGTACTGGGCATGTTTACTCCTGGAGGATGAATGGAGTGTGGGGGAAGAGGGAGGAGGGTTTATGGAAGGTGAGTAAGTGTTGCTGGGGTTTAATCCAATGTTTACCTTTTTTTTAGTGCTCTAAATATTCACATACAGTGAATGTGTATTGCTGTGTTTGTTCAATGTATGTGTCTAAATATGACTACAGTCTAATAGGTACCAGAGTTTGGTCGCTGCCCAGTGCACTCTGTATTTTGTAAGACCTGGTCAGACGCAACTCTCTTCCTCCAAACTACAAATCTGCGTGAGGACCACTGGCATATCCAGGGTATGGCACATGCCCTGGGCTCCACTTGAAGGAAGGGGACACTGATCCATGAGTCACATCACTGCCAGGAGCTGGGTGGGCCGCAATTTGTTGTAGATGCACCTTTGGCGAGGATACATCTATGCCAGCAATGTTGAGAGCAAGAACCACATTTTCACTAAGAGAAAAAGATACAGTAAGGCATCACCAACCAGACATCAGTTCAAAACCATAACGGTGGTACAGGACAATAAAGCAAAATATAGGGGTGAGCCATTCGGTGGGCTTTACAAAAACGGGTATATAGTAGGGTACAATAGATAATGTAGAATATATAAATGTTATGTGATCATAACTGGAGGAGGCCAAAAGCAGTAATTTTTCTAGTAAAAGTATTTAGCCCATTACTTTTTAATTTATCACATCAAGTCTGATAACCTTGCTTTAAAGGACAGCTATACCTTTGGTACAAGTTGTCTTTTGAGGAATTGCCCCACCTTTTTGAGTGCAGCCCATCTGGACCAATACATAACCCTGACCCCCATTTTGGTGATCTTCACAGTTTTGCCTTGCCCAGTGCTACACAGCCTTCCATCTGTCCCCCATGCATTTCTATAGGGAAAGTCTGACTCCACATGACTGATGGAGGCTTTTATGAGTAGGAATAAAAAGGGGCCATGGCATGCATGTGCAGGATAAAGACCTGGTGGGAACCTTCACAGAAGAAAGGCTGTGCAGGGCTGAACTGTCAAGATCGCTGGAATGGTGATGGAGGAAAGTATAGGACCAGGTGGGCTGCACACAGGGAGGTGGGGGCATGTCTTAAAGGGTAACAAAAAGGATCACTGTACTCCAACTGTACTCACATTTAATGTTTTTAGCAGATGCACTTTAACTTTTTTTTTTTTCACTGCTTGTGTTACAGCCCTAATCAAGGAAAGAGGTGCTAGAAAGAGGACATGGGCAATAGTAATCACTATGCTTGGAGTTGTGGCTTTTGACTTTGCAGCAGACTTCATTGATGGACCTATAAAAGCCTACCTGTTTGATGTATGCTCACACCAAGATAAGGAGAGAGGGCTTCATTACCATGCTTTATTGACTGGTGAGTGCTTTCCTTAACCTATCATTGCTTTTCCAATTCATTGTATTTCTAGGAGAATACGCTTTGAAATGTGCATTCAGGCTCAACATGTGCATTTGGGTCACAAGAGTTTCACTTGTGTTTTGACTCCTGATTCTATCAATACTGCTATTATGGAAGTAGATACAATCCATTATACATAGATTCTTGCTGTGCATCATTCATTGTATTCAGTAGCAACCTGCAACTATCAACACTTATCTGTTCACACAATTGTATGTCCAACTTTGAGAAAATATTGAATACTTTTTTTGTTGGCCCAAAGATGGATAATATGAAATTGTATCACATTTGTCTTGAACAATAAGTGAAGTTAAAGAGGAACTTCACCATACCTATTGTTGTAGAAGATTCTAAACCGCTGTCTTGTGCAATGAAAGTATAATCCAAGTTTATTGAATGTACTATATACACGTGGTAGAGCAAAGAAGAAAGTGCTCAATTGTGTGTGTGTGTATATGTGTGTATATATATATATATATATATATATATATATATACATACATATATAATTGTTGTAGAAGATTCTAAACCGCTGTCTTGTGCAATGAAAGTATAATCCAAGTTTATTGAATGTACTATATACACGTGGTAGAGCAAAGAAGAAAGTGCTCAATTGTGTGTGTGTGTATATGTGTGTATATATATATATATATATATATACATACATACATACATACATACATACATACATACATACATACATACATACATACATACATACATACATTTTTTGATCTTTTATGCAAAGAAGCTGATTAACATTTGTCATACCCCTCCAGACCTACTAATGTAACCTACTCGACATCCAAAAACATTGTGAGTTTCCAGAAGACAGTACAGTAAGTCCCTTGCATACGAACAGGAGTGTGTTTGTAAGTCCAATTTGTTCGTAAGTTCAACAAAGTTAGGGCATCCTGGGCTTGAAATAAAGATACTGTATTCTATACAGTACTGTACACAAGCACAACCACTTGGAGGACGCACACATGTGACCATGTATGCCAGACACTTGAACTAACTTACATGACTGGATATGCGAACACACCTTCGCATCTTTGAAAGTTCCCAACTTGAAGGTTCATGTGTAGGTGACCTGCTGTGGAGTTATTTAGCCATAGCAAGCTCACATGGAGCAAGAAATATTGCATTAAAACACTGCCTTCTGGCATATGACATGGGTCCAGCCATCGATGCCTCCTTGATGGTCTGTCTAGGTAAGGATTTAGGAACTCCCTCCTCATTGGCCTATCTCTACACAGGCTATCCCCCCTTCAGTCTATCATGAATGCAGCTGCTAGACTTATCCACCTAACCAACCGTTCAGTGTCTGCAACCCCCCCTCCCCCCCCAATCCCTGCACTGGGTTCCACTCGCCCAAAGGATAAAATTCCAAATATTAACAACCACTTTCAAAGCCATCCACAACTCTGCCCCGGATATATCTCAAACCTTGTCTCAAAATATATCACCCTAACGGTCCCCTCCGCTCTTCCAAAGACTCCCTGCTCTCCAACTCCCTAGTCAACTCCTCCCTTGCTTGCCTCCAGGACTTCCTTGCTTGCCTCCAGGACTTCTCTAGAGTCTCTCCCATCCTTTGGAACTCCTAACGCCGACCTGTCCATCTAACCCCGACCTGTCCATCTATCTCCCACTCTGACTGCCTTTTAGGCGATCCCTAAAGACTCATCTCTTCAGGGAAGCCTATCCCACCTCGACCTAACCACTGAACTATCACTTTCTCAAATAATTCATCCCCACACAGTTACCTCCTCATGTATCACTTGTCCCTCCATTTTAGATTGTAAGCCCTCAGGGGCAGGGCCCTCCTTACCATTTTGTCTTGTAATTGTCATGTATATTGTAAAGAGCTGCGCAAAATGTTGGCGCTATATAAATAGACCAAAACAAGCACTTAACCCTTTTAAGTGTGGGGGGTAGCCACATTTTGTATTATTTGTGCCTGGAGTTCTTTAAATTTTGCTATGTTTCTGGAACTGGAAATGAAAGAAAATCACCCAACAGGAATCAGACTAAAAAAAAAACCCACAACAGAGATCTTTTCCGTTTTCTACTCTATCCAAGACTATATATAAAATAGCTTCGGGAGCTTTATACTTGGTTTAAAATTGCAGTTTAATCTCCTTATAGTTTGCCTTCCTTGGGACCTCCCTCAGTAACATGCTAATTTATTTATTTACTATTGGTATTTTATATAGCGCCGTCAATTTACGCAGCGCTTTACATACTGTACATTTACATCAGTCCCTCCCCCTAAGGGGCTTGCAATCTAAGGTCCCTATGGAACACACATACAAAGGCCAATTTTGACCAGTGCCAATAACCTTCCAGCATGTCTTTGGAGTGTAACGTTTTTTAAATTTCTTTTGGCTTTCATTTCCTACCTTATTTTAGTCTTTGTAATGTCTGTGTATCTCTATGCAATGCAAGCAGATCATTTCTGGTGGCGAAGGCCGGCAGGGTGCTGCACATGGTTTCCTGAAAATATCACGGCACCCTGCCTCAGTGTGCTGTCACAATAGTTGTAAAAAATATGACAATAGTAGAGGTGCACCAAAATGAAAATTTTCAAACCGAAATTTAAAAAAGTCAGACCGAAACTGAAAATGATTTTTATTTTTTCACATTTTTTTTATAAACTTTTTTTTTTTCAATTTTTTTTTTTTTTTATTCATTTTTTTATTAAAAATTTTTTACTTTACTTTTAGGGGCTTTGGGGAAATATTAGGGGTTTAAACAGACCCCTGATATTTCCCTTTTTAAAATGGAAAAAGAGATTGAGAACACACAGTCCTCAATCTCTTTTCCTGTATCCCCTGTTATCAATGAACAGGAATCCTCTGAGTCTTCCTGTTCATTGATAACATGAGAACATTGTTTTACTATAACTACAACTATGAATGAACAGGGGGTGATGTAGATCACTCCCATTCATTCATAATTGAGGATATAGTTAACATACCATGCCCTCAATTATGTACAAACACTCAGTGATCACTTAGTGTTTGTGCTTGCTCTTCTCTCTGACCGCTGTCACAGGAGGCTGATCGAGCGGTGTGGAGAGGAAAGACCAGCCTCCTGTGACAGCGCTGTCTCTGCCTCCACACCACTCTGCCGGACTGTGATAGGCAGCAGAACGGTGTAGGAGGAGACGCCGGCCACTCTCAGCGCTCTCCATTGCAGCGCTCGGCCGGCTGTCACTTTCTGTCCTCCCTGCTGGGACATAGAGCAGCGCCCAGCGGGGAGGAAAGAAATCAGGGATGCGCCGATGTATCGGCAGGAAAATGGCACTTTCGGCATTATGCCAAAAGTGCCATTTTTGGCCGATATGTTTCGGCGGCCGATATATCGGTGCATCCCTAATTAATAGTCATAGTTAATATTCATACACATGTGAGATGAGAATTTATATAGTTTATTTTCCTTAAGCCATTTGCTCATAGTTACATAGTATTTAAGGTTGAATAAAGACATAAGTCCATCAAGTCCAACCTATTGTGTGTATGCATTCATGTTTGAGCAAGTGTGTCCACGTGTGATTTTGCTCTTAGGAGTGCCTTTACCCCTGTATTTTATGGTCTCCGAGAAACTCGTCCAGTTTCTTCAACGATTCCACACTCTTAGCTGAGATCACTTCCTGCGGCAGCGAGTTCCAGACCCTAACCGCTTTAACTGAGAAGAACCCCTTGCGCCCTGTGTTGAAATTTTTTTTACACCAATTTTTGGTGGTGCCCTCTGGTCTTTGTTACGGAGCTAACAGTAAACAGTCTGTTACTAAGGTTGCTGTCATCATTGAACAGTTTATACAAGAAAATCATGTCCCCCCTTAATCTCCTAACCTCCAAAGAGAACATACAGGTATTTAATTTTAACAACTTTGTTTCATAGTTCAGGTCCTCAAACCCCTTAATGAGTTTGGTTGCCCTCCTCTGGACTTTTACCAGCTCAAGGACATCTTTTCTGAGTATCGGTGACCAAAACTGGACCGCATACTCCAGATATGGCCGAACCAGTGATCTGTAAAGTGGTAAAATTACAGACTTGTCCTTGCAATACATTCCCTTCTTAATGCAAGACAGGACTCTACTTGCTTTGTTTACAGCAGTCTGGCACTGCGAGCTGTTCTTCAATCTGCGGTCTATGATGACCCCCAATCCTTCTCCGTTTCCGACTTCCCTAGTGGCATTATGGCATTCCCATAAGTGTATAGTCCATTTGCCTATTTTAACTCCATGCTGCATTACCTTACATTTATCGATATTGAACTTCATCTGCCATACAGTTGCCCACTCCCCGATTTTATCCAGGTCCTCTTGTAATGTTATAATGTCTAAATCTGTGTCTATTACCCTCCCAATTTTCTCATCGGCAAACACTGAGACATGGCTACTCACTCCCTCCCCTATATCATTAATAAACAGGTTAAAAAGCATGGGACCCAGCACAGAACTCTGGGGCATGCCTCCCATGGCCCAGTCTGAAAAGGTGCCATTACCTGATACTCTTTGTACACGTTCCTGTAGCCAGTTCTCTATCCAGGTGCACTCTTAATTCATCCATGCCCTTAGCTTGTATAACAAGCGTTTATGTGGCACCGTATCAAATGCTTTGGAAAAGTCCAGGTACACTGCGTCCACCGGCCTCCCTCCATCCAGGTCTCTACTTACCTCTTCGTAAAAGGTCAGCAGGTTGGTCTGGCAAACCTGCTGACCTTTGTATACTATTGATATTGTTTGGCTAATTCATATACTGACATTGTGTGGTCGTTTTGGGTTATTGGTTTTCTGTGTTCCCTAACATCTATGATGTATTTCCCCTTTTATTTATGAGACCAGTTGTTTCCAGTGTCATGGCTGACGGTAACATGACAACATGTTAATCTGCATTGCATGCTTGGAAACATCACTATCTCTGACCTTCTATTCATCTATTCATTCATC